ATGGTCCATGCAAATTTATTATACACACATACGCCCCCCCCCCCTCTCTCTCTCTCACACACACGCACACGCCTACACACGCGCACGCGCCTACACACGCGCACACTTGGAACGTTGTATCAATGATAACAAGTTTTAATGGAACAGCAACAAGAACAAGGACAAAAACACCACGACCATCACCGTAGCACCACAACCACAACCACAACCATTACCAACAAAAACAACAACATCAATTTTAGATCGTGTAGTATAATTAATAGATCTACCAATACTTTATAATTACCAACCTCGCAATAAAACACTCAGCGAAATATCCAAGCCGGCTCTGCGGCAAGTTCCTCGGAAGTGAAAGAAGACGCGCACAATATGATCTGGTGTGATCTACATACACAGCTGGTCTGTGACCACACAAGATCATCGAGTGATCCCCCTTGCTACGTCTAGCAACACAGAGCGATGAAGTGGTAAGCAAGCTTTCACCGGTAAGCAAGACAAAATTTAGGCACCGAATAAATAATAATAAAAAAAAGCCTGGCTTTGACGCCGTTCGAAGTGTGTTGTCACCACAACAAATTTGAGTCTCTAACACAAACGACGACTAGGGTTTTGAATTCTTTTCTACTTTTCTAACGGGGGCGAATGTGTGTCGTCTGCTATTGAGATGCCACGGCGGGCGGCAGATACGTGAATGGAGCGATATTCAATCGAAACCTTTTGCAGCGCTTCACCGAGCAGGCTTTCGATTCCTTTTGTTTCGTCTTATCAACAGAGCGGAAGAGAGAGAGAGAGAGAGAGAGAGAGAGAGAGAGAGAGAGAGAGAGAAAGAGAGAGAAAGAGAGAGAGAGATGGACGGATGGACGAACGAACGAACAGACATATAGATACAGAGGCAGATATAATACATAAAGTGGGAGGTAGGGAACATGAAGAGAGGAGAGAGAGTGGAGAGAAAAGGATAGAGAGAATGAGGAGGTTGAGGAGGAAGAAAGAGAAAAAGAAAAGAAAGAATGAGAGAGAGATTGAGAGAAAGAGAGCGTTTGTGTGTGTGTGTGTATATATA